GGTTGCCCGATATGGAGACAGAGAGGTCCAGGAAGGGGAGAGAGGTGTTAGAGATGGTCCAGGTTAACTTAAGGTTGGGGTGGAAGATGTTAGTGAAGTGGATGAACTGTTCGAGCTCCTCATGGGAGCACGAGGCGGCGCCGATACAGTCATCAATGTAACGGAGGAAGAGGTGGGGTTTAGGGCTGGTGTAGGTACAGAAGAGGGATTGTTCCACGTAACCTACAAAGAGGCAGGCGAAGCTTGGGCCCATGCGGGTACCCATGGCTACCCCCTTTGTCTGTAGGAAGTGGGAGGAATTGAAAGAGAAGTTGCAGGTGAAATTAGGAAAGCAAATAAAAACCGAAAGAACTGCCTATAAATCAGAAACAAAAACAGAAATTGCTGGAAAACCTCAGCAGTTCTGACAGCTTCTGTGAAGAGAAATCCAAGTTAACATTTCGGGTCGAGAGTGACCCTTCCTCAGAACTTGGTATGTTGGCCTTTATCACAAGGGAATTTGAATACAGAAGTTGTATTGGTGAGAGTATACCCAGAGTATTATGAACAGTTTTGGTATCCTTATCTAAGGAGGGGTAAGCTTGTGGAGGGCAACAGAGTCTCATCAGAATAATCCCTGGGTCATCAGGATTGTCCAGTGAGGACAGAATGAGGAAACTGAGTCTGTATTCTGTACAGTTTCCAAGAATATGAAGTGATCTCATTGAAACTTGCTACATTCTTATAAGGTGTGACAGAGTGGGAATAGATAAGATGTTGCCCCCTGACTGGTGAGTCTACAACCAGGGGGATGTTATCTCAGGATAAGGGGTAAGCTAATTAAGATTGAGATGAGAACGTGATTTTTCTCATTCAGATGATAGTGGAACTTTGGAATTTTCCACCCCTAAAGATTGTTAAAGCATGGTCATTGAGCAGGTTCCCAAGACAATAATAAATAGCCTTCTGGACATTAATGAGATCAACGGATATAGGGAGAGTGCAGGGGAGTGATGTCGATGTAAAGGGTCAGGTTTGATGTGCTGAATGGCCTGCTCCTATGTTCTTAAAGTGCCATTTAGCACAACAGGTCTATGTTGCTTCACACTACCCACTCTATTTACTTCACATCACCCTATCTACAGATCCTGCTATTTCTTCTTCCTTCATGCAGATATCTTTTCTTTTTTCTTTATTCATTCACGGGATGAGGGTGTCGCTGGCTAGGCAGCATTTATTGCCCAGAGGGCAGTTAAGAGTCAACCATATTGCTGTGGGCCTGGAGTCACATGTAGGGCAGACCAGGTAAGGATGTCAGTTTCCTTCCCTAAAGGACATTAGTGAACCAGATGGGATTTTTCCGACAATCGACAATGGATTCATGGTCATCATTAGATTCTTATTTCCAGATACTTATTGAATTCAAATTCCACCATCTACCCTAGTGGGATTCGAACCCGGGTCCCCAGAACGTTATCTGGGTCTCTGGATTAACAGTCCGGTGATAATACCACTAGGCCTTCGCCTCCCCATGTATATACATCTTGATTTCCAATAATGAAATTTATGTGATCTTCCAGAACTGCTCCCTGTCACAAAAAAATCCACATTTTCATCACCCTCTGGGTTAAGAACTCTCTCGAGAACATCCCATCAGATCTCACAATCTCCACCTCCTTTCAATAGACCCCTGTTTTGGACTCTCCTGCAAGTGGAAAAATTTGACTATTTCTGGATCATTGGATCTCTTCAGTTCAAAATTTTCAGTCATCACAAACTCGGCTGTACAAATAGTTTTTAATGTGCTTGATAATGAGCCTTCACTGTTATCACTTGCATTAAAAAAAAATTCATTTCTACCAATCCAATAAATCATAGAATCCCTACAGTTTGGAAGCAGGCCATACAGCCCATCGAGTCCATACAGACCCTCCAAAGGGCATCCCACCCCCTACCCGATCCGCTGTAACCCTGCATTTCCCATGGCTAACACATCTAGCCTTCACATCCCCGGTCACTACGGGCAATTGTATTACATGGACAAAAACTCTCAAGTTGCCCTGTTGATGGGTAGTAAAGGGTCAATGCACCAGCTGAAGTGGCTGCAGTCAACAGTTTACTCCAAAATCACAAAAACCATTGAGCGACACAGCGCAGGAGGAGAGCACTCTGCTCATCAGCCCTCTCCTAGCCCCTTGATAAGACTCGTCCAACGTGTGCCCTGTCTTCCTTTTTAACCTAAGTCTGGCAAATGTTCTTTTCTTTAAGCTAGTGTCCAGTTCCATTTGACAGCTACAATTGAGTCTGCTTCCATCACCATTTCAGGTACTGCGTGCTAGTTCATAAGTCACTGCGTCAAATATTGCTGCTCATCTCACCTTTTTTTAAACAATTATTTATCCTCTGATTACTGACGTTCCTGATAGTTGTTCCCCATGTAACTATCAATGGCCCCCATAGATTAGGGATCATTTGTATTTAAAGAGTTGTAGCAATTCATTAAGGAGGTTGATGTGGTATTGCCAAGGCAGGTAACACCTCTCCATTATCTTGCTTGGGACTCTATAAGTGACTTACTGGAGGAAGAGTCTGCACAAATATTCCCATCCTTGATGATAGGTGGGACCCCAGCACACCAGTGTAAATGACATTTTTTAAAGGCATTTGTGAACATCCACAGATGGAAGTCCCAACTGGATGATCCATCGCCTTCCGAGGTCCCCAGTATCACAGATGCAAGTCTTCAGCCAACTCGATTCACTCCATGACTCAAATGCTATGGATGTTAACAACGCTCTGGCAGCAGTACTAAAGACTTATCCTCCAGGACCAGCTGCTCCCACAGTCAAACTGTCCAAGTACAGCTACAGCATTGGCATTACCCATCAACATGGACAATTGCCCAGATATGTCTGGCAGCATCTGTGGAGAGAAAAACAAAGTTCTTGCCTCAAGTCTGGCATGACTCTTCTTCAGATCTGAAGCAAACTGCATTTATTACTTGCCCAGGTCATGTACACAAAAAGAAAGTTCAAACCAAACCAGCCAATTATCGATCCATCAGTCTACTCCCAATAATCATTAAAATGATATAAAATGTAATTGAAATGTAACTTGAGATTTGAATACACAGATGGCTCAAAGATCATGAAGTAGGAAGTTCATCCTCTACTGGCATCAGGTCATTACAAACTTGAAGGGAAATTGAGGCTAAACAAGGAATTATTTGTAGCTTTTACACTGATTGAAGCCTCTAACTTACATTAAGTTGAGGAGTCCAATGTCTGTCCACTTATTTTTTTCCCATGAGACCTCCTTATCTCAGGGATATCCTCTTTTCCAGGAAGGATCTATTCAACTCCCCCAATTGCCATCCCTCACTATCGCCACCTGCTGTTGGAGGTTCCATTACAAACAGTGATTTCAAGCAGCGTTTACTCTACAATAACATTTGTCCAAGCATGGGCAAAAGTACTGAAGTCCAATGGGAAAAAGAAAATTGACAGTCTTTGACATCCAGGCAGCATTTTACCAACTGTAGCATCAGGCTCCACTCCATCTGTAGTCTGACAAAAATGGCAGCCCACCCTCAATGGTTAACCTTAACCCTGACCATATTGTGGGTGAGTTTCAAAACGTTGCTACCTATGGGCACTTCTTACTCATTAAGCTCACCAAAAGAAGATAGGGCTAGTACTCAATGGCGTAAAGACATTTTCAATGGTTAAATTCAAGTTTCTGAAATGCCACTCAACTTTTCCAACCCAGTAAAGGCACAGAGAAATTGTGGCATTTCATTTATAATAAATTATGCTTAGCGATTATTGATACTTAAGTTTGATCTTTAAAATCAAAATCAACTTTCTTACCTTTCCTGTTTTTTCCCCATTCTTTTAATCACTTCTTTCTATGCCTCCCTTTATGTTTCTTTCTGATTTGATCTAATCCTGATTGAGGAACTCGATGTTCTTCACTCTCTCAACCTTAGTTCCGTTGATGTAGATGGGGGCGTGTTCTCCTCCTTTCATTCTGAAATCGATTATCAGAAATTTTAATTAGGGTGCATAATAGCCTGGTTTGGCAACTGCACTGCCCAGGACTGTAAGAAACTACAGAAGGTGGTGTGCACAGCCCAGACCGTCACAGAAGCCAACCTTCCATCCATGGACTCCATGTACATGGCCCACTGCTTTGGAAAGGTTGCCGACGTCATCAAAGACCCATTGCACCCCGGTAATGCTCTCCTATAACCTCTTCCATCAGGCAGAAGATACAGAAGCCTGAACACACGCACCAGCAGGTTCAGGAACAGCTTCTTCCTGGCCGTTATCAGACTGTTGAATGGATTCTAGCCTCAAATAATGTAACCTGCAATGTAACCTGTATGTTTCTAAGTCTTTTTGATTGGTACATC